TCCCGGTCCCTAAATTAGCTACCTAGCAATTACGCCCTTTAAATTCCTATGGGTAGTTTTATCTTGCCCTATAATAAGGTCACTTTTGAATTGGAACCAAAGCGATGGCAGTAGATTTGTTTTTATTGCTATCAGGAGTCCATGGGTGATATGATAGCTGCTAATTCAAAGTTTGGAAATTCTAGACCACGGGTGCTCAATATGTTGATCACGATCTACTAATCGATCGCAATGTAGTGTGGGTAGATTGCATAGCATTAAAAAAATAGACATAAGCCTATCATCAATCCCATCACTCAATTGATATACAGCACAGCCAATCAGATGCAATCTTAGGTGTCAAATGCATGCGCAAACAACTTTGCTAAGTGCAGCAAAACTGACAAACTAAGTTATGGCCAATTTTTAGACCTTGGTCTTTTTCTCTTTAATGTAAGAAAGGATATTAAAATGAGTGGGGGAGCTGGACCAAGTAAGACAAAAACGTATCATTTTTATATAGAATGGGAGATTTTGACACTACAAGCTGACATTCAGCTGCGGTCCAGAGCACATGAACAGTTCTGGAACTTACTCGCAGAGAGAAAGTACCCAAACATGAGAAAATGTGCTACCTCTTTGACTGCATTAATCGACTCTACTTATTTATGTGAGTCAGCCTTTTCCTACATAAAGATCATTAAGACCAAGTACCATTTCACCATAACTGATGATCATTTGGAAGTGTGCTTGAGGCTGGCTGTTGGCAGCTACTGTCCCGACTATGTATCCCTGGAACATTCCATTCAGTGCAAGTCATCAGAGTAAACTCAGGTTACGACAAAAAATGTACATAGTTAATTGTGTTGTGTTGTGCAATATGGACTCATGCGGTTATGCAAGGTACATAAACGTACATTGTACATACAGTATAAAGAATTCTCAATGCCTTTATGAATAAATGTAATAAATGAAGAAAGAAACATGTTTTCCATTTTTTGTAGTTGGTAGATCATTTTGACTTGATCAGTTTATAAGTGGCTCGCATGCTGAAAAAGTGTGAGCACCCCTGTTCTAGACTAACAAGAGGTATCTTGGGAAAAAGTCTGATTGCTTACTTCTAAAAAATCAGTCATTGGAAACCTCATGGAGCACAGGTCTCCTTTGATTTTGAGTTAAGGTGCCTGTCGGACTGCCCCTCCTGGCTAGTGGCCCTCGTGCTCATCCACAGACGATCAGGGTGTGGAATTCTTCCTCTTTTTCCTTCAGTCCTGTTTGATTACAATGTCAGGTCAGACTGCAGATTTCAAACATTTTATGTTTATCTTTTAGATTCCGTTTTAGAGTGGTATCATTTCCTAGTGTGTCCCCAAATTCTGAAATGTACTATTTGGGGGGCCTTATTTTCGACAGAGACTAACTAGCTTGAAATAAAACTCTTTCCCCCCCTACATAAAAATATACATTCACAAATGTCATTTTAAACTTTCTTCTATGGTTTTGTAATCTTTCCCTGCATTTGAAACAGAGAAACCAGGTACTGTTTTTGAAAATTTCCAGTCAGAAGATCTAGGTTCAAAACCAGCTAGTTGGCTCTGTTGTTGGCCAACTCTTCTGGAAGGGCCTATGTTAGGTGTCCTATGAGAAGACAATGAGAAAGCCAAGAGTGTATCGGAAAGCCAAGGGTGCAAAATTCCCTATCATTATTAGTAGTAGTATTGGACTGGCCATTCAAGGTCACTGGGGATGTTTGTTTTGTGATGAGTTATAAGGAAACCAATGAGTCCCTGTTACCATGGGGGAAAACAAGCAAAGTCAAACACTAAGTAAACCTCTTCTGGGAAAGGCAGTCATTGAGGAGGAAACACAAAATAAATAAACAAATAGAAATAAAAAGGAGAGATGCAGATTGCATATAATAGTAGTACCCTGTTTCCCCAAAAGTAAGACATCCCCCGAAAATAAGACCTACTTAATGTTTTGCCTCTCGCTGAAATATAAGGCACCCCCAAGATAAGACCTCCTGGAAAATAAGGCCCCCTGAAGCTACCATAACTCTGGATTCTGGATTGTAGTGGTGGGTGCCGCTGCGCAGCTCACTGTTGGCTGCAGCGCAGCCTGAGCAGACAGGAAGTGCGAGGTCTCTTTTAATAAAGCAATAAACAATGACTGTGTACCGAATTCTTCTTCATGAAAAAATAAGACATCCCCTGAAAATAAAACTTAGCGCATCTTTGGGAGCAAAAATTAATATAAGACACTGTCTTATTTTCGGGGAAACAGGGTAGCAGGTTTGAAAAACCAAACCAATTGCTATGAAGTGAAGTGACTCATGGAGACAGCATGCTTGTCAGAGCAGAATTTCCCTGCGTAAGTTTTTTGGTTTTAACTTTTATGCATGGGGTTTTCAATGCTGTGTTTTTGTTTTGCTTTCTTTTTTAAGTAGATCACTATATCTGCCTTTTAAGGTGTCTCTGGGTGGGATTGAATCTTCAGCTTTTCAGTTAGCAGCCCAACACTTACTTGCTTGTACTACCTGGGGAGTGGTAGTGAGTGGCTAACATTTATTGAGCACTTATTCTGGGAATGAACATTTTGCACACATCATCTCTTTCAAGGAGAGTTGGGGAGAGGAAGGACAAGAAAAAGTCAAGAGGAATCTGAAGTTAGGAAAAAACCCTTACCACATCCCCAATTGACTCTACTACACCTTCAAAGCACTCTGTAAGTATGTGTGTCTTTAATGACCCATTTCTCAGAGGTCTGGTGTCTTCTTGCAGCTCTCTTGGGTCCCTTCCACCCATTGTTATCTAATCTCTTCTCAGACACTCAGGAAGGCGCATGGCCTCCCCAACTCTAGACTGCAGAAATGGGTTCCTCTTAAAACAAAAACGCCTGTGCCCCTGTTTGTCATAGTAATTAAGCGCAGTTGCCCACGACAAAATGAGAACTTGGGTTAAAATTCCATTCCACCAAATTAAATGACGTTCCGCCGAACAATTAACAGAGAATGCAAAAAGAGCATAAGCAGTGTAATGTAATTTAGAGCGTACAGGAAAAAGCACGTCTGTTTTCCTTTTTTGTCCCAGGCTGAACTAGGAACGGGTGGCTCCATCTAAGAACTGCATGAATAAACGCAGACTGTGAGTTTGCGCTGACATGTGTGGGCACTATGGTGAAAAGGTGCAGTGCAATTATCGTGGGTCCCGGCCCTGTGTGCAAGGAGGAGATATGCTAATGGGCCGTTTGCCGCAGGCTCAGTGTTATTTATATAGCACGGGCTGCGCAGGGCTGGGGCCGCAGTCAGAGAAGGGAAGGGAGCCTTGTCTGGATCTGGACGCGTGCTGATATGTGCGCCTGTGTATTACGCGTTTGAAATATGAATTCAAGATTTAGGGAAGGGTGGGGAGGTGCTATCGCCGCTTATATTTATAAAGTCTATGTCCCTTGTCCTCAGATAGGTTCTCCTCTCAACGCTCTTGGGAAGCATTCATTTTGGAGTGTGTGTGTGGGGGGGAGAATAACATTTTGGAATGGATGCTGTGGACGGTCACGGGTGATCCTAACACGGCTGCTGGCTGAAATTGGCAGCTACCTAGCGCAAAATAGCAAAGACGCGCCAGCTGGTGGCCCCGGAGGGCCAGCCACCCTGGGGTTTTGGCCTCTGTGAAAGAGAGTGTTTGTGTGCTGTGTATGTATGTGTGTGTTGTGCGTGTGTGTGCTGTGTATGTGTGTGCACGCTGTGCAGGTGTGTGCGCTGTGTATGTGTGTGCTGTGTGTGTTGTGTATGTGTGTGCTGTATATGTGTGTGCGTGCGCTGCGTATGTGTGTGTGCGCTGTGTATGTGTGTGTGTGCGCTGTGTATGTGCGCGCTGTGTATGTGTGTGTGCGCTGTGTATGTGTGTTGTGTGTGTGTGCTGTTTACGTGCGCTCTGTGTATGTGTGTGTGCTGTGTATGTGTATGTGCGCTTGCTTGCTTGCATC